ACACCCACCTCCATCCACAAACAATGAGAAAAAGAATAGACAGAATGAGACCAAAGGGAAATGAAGGAAAAAACTGTTTCCCTTCCACACCCTGATGTTCAGCCCTGTCAATATAAAAGTTATAATACATGTTCAATAGTTGCTCATGAGTATAGGAGAAGAGTGCGAAATGCCTTCAAAAGATTATAAAATCTTATTCTAAAACTCATATGGAGGCTTCCAGTCAAGATGGTGGCGTAATAAGACATGGCTTGTCTCTTCACACAACCACATGAAAATTACAACTAAAATATAGAACAGCCATCACATAGGAACGTCAGAAATCAAGCTGAATGCAAGTCTGATAAGTACGGAACTGAATTGAATGGAAGTCTGACAACTATGGAATTAAAGAAACCACATCCATTCAGACTGGTAGGAGGGGCACTAATGCCAAAAGGGCTTGTCCAACACCCAAGTGTCTAAAAAGTCCAGAGGGGTATCTTGGGAACAAGGAGTCCCAGACCCACACCAGAACCCCCAGCCCAGGATTCCAGTGCCAGGAAGAGGAGCCCCCAAATCTTCTGGCTGCAAAAAACAGCAGGGATTGAGTCACTGGAAGAAACTTCTGGAGCCCCAAGAAGTTCTTAAAGAACTCACACATGTACTCACCTACTCAGACTCACTCCCTCTGAGCTCCAGCACCAGGGTAGCAGTTTGAAAGCAGTGGTATATAGGGAGAAAGTGAAGTGCCTGGCATCAAGGTGAGCAGAGGCCATGGTCCCTTTGATAAACCCTCCCCCTACAGAGCTGGCAAGTGGATGCAATATCTGACACTCCATAAACCTGGCTAACACAGACCCACCTTGGAGATCCCCAGAGGCTCTGCCCCACCCAACTTTCAGGCCTACCCAACCTGCTATTCCGTAAGAATGGCTGGTCTTTGTTCCTAAATCCTATCCAACAAATAGCTGGCTTCAGTGAGCCCTAGCAGCAGCCAAATTAGATTCACAGCTTGGATTTGCCTGGGAATCTCAAAGCCCAGTACAAGTAGAAGCCATCCCAGATTGCTATATAGCTCAGGCAGGGTGCTTATCCTGGCCTGCACCACCCAGGAAATCCCAGGGCCAGCGCACTCAGCAGATAGCTACAGAGCATCACCACCTGCCCCTGCACAGCTGATCCTCCACAGAGGGAAGAGGCTGATGGTCAGTGGCAAGAGTGATGGTCAGTGGTCAGTCCTTGCAGCTGACTGGCTTGGATAAATTCCTCCCATTGATCTGCCAACAGCAACCAAGGCTCAACTACAAGAAGAGGGTGTATTCAGCCCACACAGAGGGCGCACCTCAAATACCCAGCTTGGGTGATAGGGGACATTGTGCCACTGGACCCTACAAGACACCTACTACATTAGGCCACACTGCCAAGACACAGAGTCATGGCAGCTTTACCTAATACATAGAAACAAACACAGGGAGGCTGGCAAAACGAGGAGACAAAGAAACATGGCCCAAATGAAGGAACAGGTCAAAACTCCAGAAAAAGAACTATATAAAATGGAGATAAACAATCTCAGATGCAGAGTTCAAAACACTGGTTATAAGGATGTTTAAGGAAATTAATGAGGACCTCAGCAGCATAAAAAAGACCCAGTCAGAAACAAAGGATACAGTAACTGAAATAAAGAACAATTTACAGGGAAATAACAATAGAGTGGATGAAGCCAAGAATCAAATCAATGATTTGGAACATAAGGAAGCAAAAAACAGCCATGCAGACCAGGAAGAAAAAAGAATCCAAAAAAAATGAGGATAGTATAAATAGCCTCTGAGGCAACTTCATGAGGTCCAATGTTCACACCATAGGGGTGACAGAAGGAGAAGACAAAGAGTAAGAAATTGGAAATCTATCGGAAAAAAAATAGTGAAAGAAAACGTCCCTAATCTGGTGAAGGAAATCGACATGCAAATCCAGGAAGCACAGGGAGTCCCAATTATGATGGATGCAAAGAGGCCCCCACTCCAAGACACATCATAATTAAAAGGCCAAAGGTTAAAGATAAAGAGAGACTCTTAAAAGCAGCAAGAAAAGTTAGTTACCAGATGGTTGCCAGATGGGAAGGGGGAGGGGTAGAATGAGTGAAGAGGTGAGGGGCTAAGAAGTACAAATAGGTAACTGCAGAATAGCCTTGGGGATGTAAAGTACAGCATAGGAAATGGAGTAGCCAAAGAACTTATACGTATGACCTGTGGACAGGAACAAGGGTGGGAGGATTGCCTGAGGGAATAAGGGGCACTGGGTGGAGGAAGGCAAAGGAGGAAAAGTCAGGACAACTGTAATACCATAATCAATAAAATATAATTAAAAAGTAAAAATAATATGGAAGATTATAAAATTAATGAAATGTAGACAGTAGTACAAATAGTAAACTGTATGAATAATATATAATCAAATATTAAACTATGTCACTTCTAAAAAGAGTACAATTTCTGAAGACATATTAGAAAAGCTCTCTTTTGATCCCTTTTTCCTTTACTTTGAATGAGTAATAGCAGCTAAGTGATCCTTCCATGAAAGATGCTATCCACTCTTCCTACAAAGAAGGGAGAAGGAAGTAAAAATTGCTTAAGAAGAGAGGAAAAAAAGAGGGATGATCATGTGCCCCAAGCTAATTTATCCAGAGAGAGCAATTCCATGTGCAAGGTCTAGTATTGAGCACTAAAACAGTACTTAAAGAGGCAAACTAGGTTTTCTGATCTTACAGGAATTTGGATTAGACATAGAGCAACACAGAAAAACAAATATAGTTTTTTGAAACTGGGAAAGGAGAAGGAATACAAAATTAAAAATACCCAGAGTCTCAGTAAAGAATGCTTGTAAAAGTTGTAGTAAAATCAGGTAAAACAAATTCATGGCTCTTTAAAAATGCAGGTCTTATTCAATTAGTTATAGTGAAATATTCTATAGATTCTGAAGCCTTTCTACATTGGTTTTAGAAGCCTATTCCATTTAAGATCAGTATTTCTTTTGGGGAAAGCATAATTTTACTTTCAACTATGGAAACATTATAATGTATAATCTAGCATAACAAACAAAAAATTAATTATGATATGTAATAATAACTCAAGTTCAGCAGTCATTTATAGTAGATTAACTTTTGAAGGTAATTTTTGCAATTCAAGAATTGTCTTGGATGGAAGTCAAAAAGGAGTAATATGAAAAAACAAAGCTGTTTGTTTCCCACTGTTAAAAAAGATAGTTTTATTTATTTTTTTAGATTTTATTATGTATTTATTTTTAGAGAGAGGGAGGAAGAAAGAGAGGGAAGGAATCATCAATGCATCAATGTGTGGTTGCCTCTTGAGAGCCCCCTACTGGGGACCTGGCCCACAACCCAGGCATGTGCCCTGACTGGCAATCAAACCAGCAACCCTTTGGTTCGCAGGCCAGCGCTCAATCCACTGAGCCACACCAGCCAGGGCTGAAGATAGTTTTAAATTAAAGATAGAGACCTTGCTGGACAGCTCAGTTGGTTAGAGCATCATTCCGATATGCCAAGGTCATGGCTTCCATCCTTGGTCAGGGTACATACCAATGTATGTATAAATAAGGGAACAACAAATTAATGCCTGTCTCTCTCTCTCTCTCTCTCTCTCTCTCTCTCTTCTCTCTTCTCTCTTCTCTCTCTCTCTCTCCCCTTTCTCTCTTGAATCAATAAAATAAAAAATAAAATTTTAAGTAGGTTTACAACTGTTAATATAAAAAAATACAATAATAGATAATAATACAAAAATAAACTTTGTTTCATGTAACAACTATAAACTACTTTAACAGAAAAAGGTAATAAATTTAAGACAGATTTCTCAATAGTGGCTCTGCTATCCTATAATCAATCAATAATCCTTCAAAATAAAATATAGCTAGTTTAAACCAATGAGATGAATAAAAAGGTATCTTTCATTTAACTGATTCATTTTTATAATTATTGTCTGCTTTAAAAGAATCTACTTCGAACATGATTCCCTCCCCCACCCCCTAGGGTAAGAAAACTACAGCTTCCACAGAAGTCAGAGAAAAAGAAAAAAACTCAGGCACACTCTAGAAGGGATAAACCATTCAATGTGATTCTTCCCTTTAAGCCAATAAAGCCACCTAGAGCTTTCTTTCCCCTTTTTACCCTGAAGTGTGAAAATTAGGTGCCCAGAGCACTTACATCTACGGACAAAGGAACAATGACACTCCCCAGGAGAGAATATAAGAAATGACCATAAAGTATAGATGACTTTAAAATAAATGTGCCAGAATTAAACTGTACATAGAAATGAATGTCATCCCCATCAAAGTCATCACCTTAAGAATCATTTACTTAATCCAATAACGCTGTTACAGGTACTTTGGAATTTGTTTCCGAGCTTAGAATGTTCCACATCCTTAAAATTAACAAATACTTGTATTTTTAGGTTGGATTAAGCAATAGTCAAACATCCTCAGAGTAGCTGTGATTTTCTTTGGAAAGTCTTTCCTAACCTTCCAGTCAAGATTTCATACCTCTTCCTAGAGAATCACTGCACATGCTCCAGCAAAGCATGTTTCACTCCATACTGGAATTGCTTATTATTTATCATCTGTCATGAGGTAAAATTGTAAACTTCATAGGAACAAGAAATTTATCTTATTTATTATTATACCCACAACCCTAGCATAGTGCCTAGAAAATTACAGGCACCCAGGAAATACTGAATGATGATATGAATCATAATACAAAATTATTTGCAGTATGGTATGTATCTTCTCTATTTACCTCCCCACTCCTTTCAGAAAGAGTACTACACCTCTGCATGATTTGTGTGATTTATATCTGTACAGAGGGCCTATTACTTTATATACCTGGGAGTAAAAGTGATTGGATGAATGATTTTTATTATTTATGCACAGAAAAAAAGAAAAAATCATGATTGCTTCCTTAGACTAAATACTTCTAACTTTTCATTTTCAATTCTGTAATCACAATAATATCTTACCTAGCTGCAATATCTTTATAGTGTCTCTATAGGCTTTCATTACCAGCTTGAAATGGCGATAAAGTGGGTAGCACAAAACTCTTCTTCCAAAAGACACCAGGACTTCATGAACATTAGTCCAAGTCTGTAAAGTATCAGTTAAATAAGTAATCATTTCCATATTACACAAACAAAAGCACATCATGAAATATTTTCTATTAAAAATTGTAAGTTTGGATCATCATGAAGCCAAGTAGAATAGAAATATAAAACTAAAAAATGAGACTTTTATACCCCCTACAATAAAATATTTAACCTTGTTAGTCTTTGTAATTTCTCGTATTTTATCAACATATCACAAATGCTCTTTAAAAATCACATATGTAACAGGAAAGTTTTAAGAAGTCTCTTAAGAATTATAAACATGAATCTAAAACACATGGCACTAAACAAATACAGATGCACATAAAAGACATTTCTAAATGATACATGTTTCATGCTTTTATCCTTTAGGACTATTAAATATAGTATAGATGAAAGGTGTAGGACTTTTCAGTGATATGTGTTCAGTCTCTCTCTCTCTCTCTCTCTCTTTTTTTTTACTTTGGGCATAAGTAAATACAAGGTATTTACTTCAGAAATTTATTTTTATTCATCAAAGAGAAAACTAGTAATGTATGGAAAAAAGAATGTTTTATCTTAAATAGTATTAACCATGAGAAATCCAAAACTTACTGAAATCACAAAGGTGATTTCAACAGTGTACAACAGTTTTTAAATTTGAGTTTTGATAAAAAATGTAACCTATATGTAAAACTTAAATATAAAATTAAAACTAAGAGAGCAGCATAATTTCCATGTTTATTTATCCTTAGCGGAGACCTGATTAAGAATATTGAGTATCTGACAAAGAATAGTTTATATCTAAAAAGAATTATGAATTTTTTAAAAATTCTAGCAAAAACCGAAATACTTATAAAAGTTTGACAGCTATTAACATGTCTGGCAATTCTAAGTTCTCTCAAAAACAATAAAAATTTCAAAATAAAATCATAATTAGGTGAAGTTATTCATGTAGATTTTAATAACTGAACTATGAAATTAATCACCAATTCCGTAATTACCACAAAAACCAGTTTTCCCATTATAGGCTGACCGTGGCACTATGAAGAACCCAAACGAAGTCTAGAGAACAGAACTTCTCCATCTTTAATATGCACATGAATCCCTGCACGTCTGCTATAAATTCTAACTCAGTGTGTCTGGACTGATTCTATGTTCTGCTAACAAGCTCCCAGATGAGGATGCTGATCAAGCTATGGGTCCATGCATCACTCTTGAAGCAACAAGATTCTCTGGTAAAGTTAAATGTTTCAGTTCCTGTTTACATCTTATCTTTTACTTCAACAAAGTGATGCCATCAAACAGCTTTGAATTTACAACTTACAATGTACTATATCTAGGATATTTTTTTAAAAAGATTTTATTTATATTTTTTAGGTAGCAGGGAAGGGAGGGAAAAAGAGACGGAGAGAAATATCCATGTGCAAGAGATACATCAATTGGTTGCCTCTTGCAAGCCCCCAACTGGGGACCTGGCCTGCAACTCAGGCATGTGCCTTGACTGGAATGGAACCAGCGACCTTTCAGTTTGCAGGCCAGCACTCAATCCACTGAGCCACATGAGCCAAGCCTATATATCTAGGATTTTAATTGGGAAAAGAAGTATTTGTCTTTATTGATAACACAACTATCAATTGTTTTAACTGACACTTTTTGAAGCTTCTACTTTTAATTACTGTTTTGATGTATAACTTTCTGTCCATAATAGATATATTTAAAAATACTAGGCTTTCACATGGTAAGAGCTACACAAGTAGTTTATAAAAAATATATATAGAAACAATTATTACTGTATTAAAAGATTGATCAGATCTAACCATACTAATGTAGGACCTAAGAGAAGTTATTTAAGCTATATGACTTAAGTTTCCTTATCTGTAAAATAGCAATAATACTTCTCATAGACTTACTGAAAGGAATTAGTGAGGTAATACATGTAAAATGCTTAGCACAGTCCCTGGTGGTCAATAAGTGGCAGCTAGTACCATTAACGCCTAGGTTAGATTTCCATCTTTCAGCTCTGAGCCCCAATATATGCCAACTCACAAACATGCCTCAAACTCCATCCCACAGTCTTCCAAATAGACCATGTGACCACTCTTTCTCCGAAGTGTGTTCTCCCTCTCCCAATCTCCTCTCTGGTTTCATTAGTATACTATAATTAGAGTAAGAGTAACAAATGGAATCAGAATTTTATTTAAAAATTGGAAAACAAACTGGAAAAAAAATAAAGCTTCCATTTTTAAAAAGTCAACAGAAAAATAACTTTCTTAAGAAACAAAATCTAAATAGTTGCTAAAATCATACCTCAAACCAGCACAGTGTTGGACTCAGTTTTCTGATATTCCATGAAGATTCAACCTTTATTTGTTTTAGAAAAAGAAGAGTACTGTCACATTAGAGGTAAAGTCATTTAATTTCAAAAATAAAGCAAATATATCCATTTATTCAACTAGCATGTAAATGGTGTTGACATATATAAGAACTAAGAAATGTCTTTAATTGCAAAAAAGGAATTGCTTTACTCTTGCAGATGCTATCAAAGGCAAGTTCCTGTCTACTTTCCTAGGACTTCTATAAAGTAATGCTTTTCTACTGATTTAAGAGTCCCATAAAACAAAAGCTTATTTAAGCAGGGGCTTTGAAAGCAAAATTAAAGCAAAACAATGCTTGCTAAATTTCTGTCCTTCTCAACTAAGTTACTTGCCTCCTAGAGATGCTATTAAAAAAATCTGCCAAATGACTCAAAGATAATGTTAATGTGTTGTCCGTGGCACTTCAAAAGCTTCTCAAGAACTTGGCCTTTCACAGAATGCTTGTGAGAATAAGTATATTTTAAAGAAGGTTTTGAAGTTGCAAGACTTCATGATTTCAAATATGTAAATATAAGAATAAAGAACAAATTTTATCGAGTAAAACCAAACACAAACTTTTCTCACACAATAATATGAAGTACTGTTTTGCCAAAGAAATATTTTCTCCAATTGTAGTATCTTTTAAAAATGAATGGAAATAAAAGGCCTTTCCATTATATTAGGCACTTAATACACTCATTAATATTCATTTTGGAATCAAACACAAATCTTGAGTCACTTTTGAAATTTTTAGAATTATGACAACAAAAAATTTGGCAGATAAAATTCCAGTCCTAAAACTATGCTAATGCTAAGTGAGAAAGGCAGATTAAATAATAATACACACATTATGAGCCAATATAAATGCATACCTAATGTGCACAATGAAAGACAGCAAAAGAGAGACATCACTTCATAACAGTGGCTTTTTCTGGTGGCTGAGATTATAGAAAATTTTAATTATTTTCTTCAAGTGTGTACTTTCCTTTACAATGATATGAAGTATTTATGTAATTAAAAAAAAAAAAGCATAGGCTCTACTCAAGAAAAACCCTTAGAGCAAGGACAGTTATAAACAGCTGCAGGGCACACTAACCAGGAGACTTTTTTTGGTGTGTGTGGTTTTCCAGCTTTTCTTTTTTTTTTAATGTATAGGTGAGAAAAAATTTTCCAAAATAAAATGTGATTTAAGAAGAGATACAATACGGGAGTGGATGTGGAAGAATGTATAAGGGAGATAAATGGTAATGGAAAACAATACAATAAAATAACTATTTACAAAAGAAGAGATACAATAAAGCCTATGTTATGACAAAAGATCATTTAAGAATACTACTGTACTTTACTTTTACAATAGGATTTCTTTAAAAGATCCCTACACCTTGCATCTACTAACTGACAGCTCGGAGAAAGAATATAAATAGGTTGGTAAAGTACACCCTTGCCAAATGGCGACAGCCCCCTTATTTGGCCAATTAATCTCCTAAAGATCCTTTTTCTCTACCCTCAGTTTTACTTCCCCATTTTGCTATTTGTAAAGACTGATGCCAAGGGAGAAGAGAAAGAAACCAAATAAGCATTATGCTTTCAAGTTTATACCCATCACCAACAGACATATGCAACTCTGCCTCAGCATCCCCTAAGTAAGTCATCACAACAGGTCTTACTCTCAAGAAGAGGGTAATGTCTTAATACAGTTTACTCAGTACAGTAGTCTGTGCCAACAAGCACAGACACACATGCACTTACATTCTTCTCTCCTTCACTGACACGAGTTTCATAGCAATATGCCAGAAGGATATCAATCAGACTGTAGTACACTTGCCGAAGAGCTCTCTTGTCCAGCAGGTAAGATTTATGGACAAATTTTTGTAGCCGATACTTCTCTTCTTCAGAAAAAGACACTGGAAGAAAACGTATTTAAAAATGAGATGTTCCATCCAGTTGTACAGACATCCCCAATGTGGAAGATTTGTCAAAATCAGAACTTTGGTTACAGAAACTGAAATAAAATTATTTAACTCTGGATATATAAACAAATTGTAAACCAGACTTCATAGTTTTGTTAAGGTCTTTGCATTTGCTCAAACCCTAGTAAGGCTAAAATAAAGGATATCTAAACAATAACTATTCTTTATTTCCAGATTTACCTCCAACTTTTTTGCCACACTGTTCTGTATTCAAGGCATCTAAATGTCAGAATTATTGACTTTAAAATTAAGATAATATATTTTGATGACAAAAAAACTGTAACAGCTAAGTAAAGCACCCTGTACATATTTACTATCCCCTTTTAATGTTCTATTCAAAAAGTAGGAAGTAATATTCTCTATATTAGTCCATTTAAGTGCATAGTATCAATATTCTATATACATAGAAAGAAAATTATACATAAATACACAAACATGATCATATTACACATGAGACCTATGGAAGAGGATTTTGTTTTTCAACACAGTTGTTTCCCTTTTCTGCTTGGAAACTTCTTTTCATCTCCACCAATAGCCTCCTAAACATTTACAATTTAGTACACACGTTTCACATTTTTCTGGACAACTATGTAATCACAGACACACACACAAATGTACATATATACACGGGAGTTTATGCTCTCCTCCCCCACAAACAGATTATTTTCCTCCATCTAGCCTATCTCACTCCGTATTACTTCTGGCAGATCTCATCAAGTCTGTTGGTAGTAAATGTTTATAAAGAAACAACACTGTGTGGTAGAGCACACTCTGTGCAACCACATCCCCTACTGGTGAGCATTCACATGTCATCTTTTAAAGATCATTTCTAATTTAATGGGTGTACAGTAACTGTAGTAGGAAAAACACTAAAATGACTGCCAATGAATCACATTTGAGTGTAGGCAGAAACTGTGACTTGTTTCTATCCAGAAGAATACTAGAAAGGTGATAAGACAGTCCCTGTCATGACCATATTTTGTTATTAGCAGACTGGAGCCAGAGACTCAGCTGCTGGTGTTGAAGAAATAAGATGCCATGTGTGAGAGGGCTACTTAAGAGGGCACTGTGGGGGTCTCTAAAGTCTCAGAGTAACCCTACTGAAACCAAGCAGGGCTGCAGGGGCCTCAGTCCAACAAACTCAGGACTGAAATCCTGCCAAACGTCATGAGAGCTCAGAAAAAGAGCCAGAAAACAAAGCTGCCAACACCTACTACTTTTTTTTTTAAAGATGGCCCCAGCTGGTGTGGCTCAGTGGATTGAGCATGGGCTTGTGAACCAAAGGGTCCCCGGCTCAATTTCCAGTCAGGGCACATGCCTGGGTTGCAGGCCAGGTCCCCAGTGTGGGGGTTGGGAGGGTGGCACATGAAAGGCAACTTCACATTGATGTTTCCCTCTCTTTCTCCCTCCCTTCTCCTCTGCATAAAATTAAATTCATAAATAAATTAAATAAATAAAATACAATCTTTATAAAAAAGAGAAAGAAAGTAAGGATGGACATATTTGTCTACAGCCCTGCAAGATCCTACGCAGAGAACCCAACTAAGCTATACTTGACTCCTGACCCAGAAGAACTAAATCATATTAAGAGTTGTATCTAACTTGAGGTAATTTGTTATGCAGCAAGATGATACTAATATGACATATTGTTACTTCAGTAAGCATTATTTCATAGGTTTGCTGGTACTTTGGCTTTGCTCTCCCATTAAACATTTAGGTGTTTTGTCCATTTTTTCCCTTTGGATGGCTCATCTTGTTAAATTAAGAACTCTTTGTCTATTATAGATATGAACCCTGGTCATGTCTCTAAATCCACAGCGTATCTATTGACTTTGTTTATGTCATCCTGTGTCATTGAATTATTTGTTTTTTGTGTAACCTAATATGTCCATCATTTAAAAAAAAAACAAAAAAAAAACAAGAGTCTGGATTTATAGCCTTTGATAAGGTTTCTCCAAACCATGTATACATGAAGTCTCCTTTTAAGATTTCCTGTTTCCTTTCTTATATTTAAGTATTTAATCCACCTGGAAGTTATTTTTTCATATGCTTTTAAGATTTTAGTTAATTCCAAGTGAACAACTAATTGTGCCAGCAGTTTGTTCAGTAATCCAACTTTTCCCACTGTACCGAATTTAAGTGCATAGTATCCCCACCAAATTTATAAAATAGATCTGTTGTTTTTCTTGTTAAAAATTACTTCAAAACACTTTTTTCAGTTTTTGTCACTTGCATATACAATATTTTCCCCATTTCCATTATTACATACAATTGACAGAGAAGAGAAAAACTATTTCCTTTTACATGTCAACTACCTTTCCAAACGTTGGGTAAGTAGACAAAAAAAAAAGAAAACAACCCTAAGATACTTAACAAATGGTAATCATTTTAAAAAAATGCTATATCTATATTGCTAAGGCAAGAAAAAATGTGACTACAGTCCCCTCTAAATTTCCTTTTAGGCCTACCATTTAGGCAAGTTATCACAAAGTATTTATCTCTAACATGAACAAAACAAGAGCATTAATGGTTCCTCAATACAACACATAGAAAGTAACATATATCTTTGTCTTAGAGCAAGACTTAAAGAAAGAATAACAGTTAACAACATATGTATATTCAGTTCCTAGCTAGTATAAGTAAAACATGGCCTACTAATTGTCTTAGGTTTTATTTTAAAGAAACTTAAGTATTTAGATACATAAAGTACCTCTAAATAAAAGTGTAAATAAAAGTGTTGTCAATCTCCTACCTTGCAAAGTAATCCTTAATTTTTCTTCCATGTCCTATCAGACAATCTCTTTGAAATTGACTTGTTTTTAAACCCCGTAAAGAGGAGCGATTAGCTGCCAGTTCCAGCACTTCATATCTGGGTAATGCTAGGATAACTTTCAAACCTTTATCTCCAGCTTTTAGAATTGTCCATTATTTAATATAGGACAGGCTAAATTGTAAAAAAAAAAAAAGCTCTCAAAAATACCATGGCTTAAATAAGAGAAGCTTCTTTCTCATGCTACTCTCTTGAAGGAAAGATCCAAGACGGGTGGACCATCAGTATCTCCATAATACAACTTTCAGCTATGGTCCATGACAGCTTACTAACTCCAGGTTTTTACTATTTTCTGACTAATCAGAAAGCAGAATAAGAAGATGAAGGCAAGCACCATCTTTCTAAAGACCTGATCCAGAAAGCGCACATAGTACTTCTACTCACTTAGCAGAGCGGTCATGTGTCCAGCTCTAACTCAGGAAGCTCTTAGAGGAGAAAGGACTAATAAAAGACACTTGGCTGTCTCTACTGCCTTTTTAGAGCTAACATTTATTAAATTGCCTTTTTAATACCCCAACCACTCTTTTCATGGCTCATTACCCAGCCTCTTTCTGTCTCTGCTCAACAAAAAACTGGCTTTCTGCTCATCACAGCTGGGCAAAGCCAGGGGAATGGAATGTGATGACTCACATATGATGGCCCCCTGTTCATATAGTTTTCCAAACTCACTTCTGTCCTCTTTTAGCAACCTTAAGTTTCACATGGCTTCTTTTTGTTTGAAGACTTTCTTCCAGCAGGTTTACAGCCTCTCCTCTTGGGGAAAAAGTCTTAAATACACTTACTTGAAATTACTAGAAGCAATGCTCGTTTGCTTATTAAAATACACATAGTGAAAAAAAGTTTTAAAATATATTTTCATAATTACCCTTTTGAATAAGGTTGAAATCCTACGTTTAAAAAATAAAAAATATATGTATTTGCACAATCATTGCTTTCATAAATGACAAATATCTAAGAATGTATTTAATTTGCTGGCCAGCAACATAAAAAACTGTCTATTTTTAAACTTTATGCAGGCAGATGTCAGGTGAAGCATTCTTTAAGAAACATTTAAAAACAAAATTATTAAGACAGATAAACTGAGTGTCGACGGTCCCATTAAAGTGCTCATATGAAGTTTCCTTGATTTAAACAGAAGCTCAGTTCATTTAAAGAGATCTGACTTAACGAAACTCTCAGAAGGAACATACTGCATGAAAAAAGCATACCTGACAGTGTTTTAAGACCCCCTAGTATTCAGCAAGAAGGTCTGAGACCAGTTATTCCCTTAGGTACAGTCTTTGAGATATTCATTAATTTAGCTAATACAGTGGTACCTAAGTACTCATCATTAATTCGTGCTGGAACTCCTGACAAGTACCAAACTGACTCATACAAGTTCTAACAAGTGCAATGAGTTCTGAGCAAGCGCCAAGTGCTGAAACATTTTTTTTCTTGTCAAAATGCATTGAGTACAGGGTTTGACAAGTTCTGAAGCTGACGAGTACCAAGATATGACTACACCAGGAATGAGCCAGATGTTCATGACGATGCTATTATCTCAGTAGGGAAAAATCTTTATATCTTAGTTGACTAATAATGGCTTCTTCAACATAATTCTGAATCACAAGGTAAGTGTGCCCAGAACCATTAAATGACGCATCAACTCATTTACATGTTTATTAAGTAATCACACCTATATATGTTTAATGATGTATAAAGGTTGATCTGAGAATTGTGGGTTCTGATGTTAGGTTATGCACAGGTGCTTCCACGTTTCACAGATCACTTTCCACGACTCTATACATATGAAAAGCCTACTTGAATGAACTCCTCTGAATTATTGGATGCTAGGTAGCCCTAGCCTTTCCTTAAAATACCACCACCTTTTCTGAGTATTTTCAAGTCCCTTTTGGCCTAAGAACTTCATTAATAATACAGACACTTTTAAATTCTGAAATTCAAGCAAAAGAACAGAGATGGTAAATAACAATAATTACAAACCAGGAAATCACTAGAGATATCAAAAATCTGAGCAACCCAAGGTCTTTCTTTATTAAACCTGTAAATGGTATCACCAAGAGGGCACATGGGGAGGTTTGCATCATCAGGTCTGCCCAAGAAGCAGCACTGGAAGTAACTACAGATGCAGTGCCAACAATACTTGGATGATTGCTGCCACAAGAAATATTTGTCAAGCATTTGTACAACTTAGCTACACTGCAAAGTAGCTTTGCATATAGTTCAGGACAGTTCAATTAACTATGCTTCTATAAATAATGTACAGGCATACAAGAGCAAGCTGAAAGCTCCACTCACTGAGGGTAGAAATTGGTGCCCCAGCATTGAAGCAAATAGCCCAAGACCACCTTCCAACATTAAAAACTCCATCAATATGTTTGAAGGACTGCAAAGCAGGCTCCCCGCAAAATGGAAAGTGACCTTCTCACTTCACTTAGAACATTTCCTAGTTTAGTTATTTTACATCTTCCCTTCTAAATCCCCCTCCCAAATACCCCTGTCTTCTGTAGGTCAACAATGAAATCATCCATGATCTGGTTCCCCTCACAGGAATGTCAATCTGTCTATTACATTGTACACTTTCCGGAAACAGATCAAAGGAACCAGAAGCAAATGTGCTGCATTCAAACCCTTGGCCCGAATGGGTAGCTCTACAGTGGCTACAACTTTCAAGTTGAGACTTATAGCTCTACAAACACTGAAGAGTTCATTGGTGCCAAAGAGGATTCTCTTCCAGGAAGTTCATTGACTATAAATGCTACATGGTGTCTTTTCTAGCAGTCACGTGCCAGATTCTTGGGCTGAAGTTAACCACTGAAGGACAACATGGGAATTGTGGGAAGTCCATCCTCATGAAACCAGAGCTCAGTGGAAGCATAGCATAGTTCCATTTACAAGCCTTTGGGGAGAAAGATCAGGATCATGACAAAAATGAATATATTAATAAAAGTCTCTGCATTGTAACTCAGGGCTATGATGAAAATGATGAGATTCATAATGAAGGCAAAAGGCTTATGTGGAATTTAAAACAACTGTAGCTTAACATTTTATGATGAGGATGAGTCAAAAGTCCCCACAAACTTGCACTATTGTATCTGTCCAGCAACATCTGGCAAGAAAGCAAAGAGGTGACACCCTACTGCAGTGACACAGAGAGGAAGGAGGCCTGGAGGCAAAGAGGAAAAGAAGGGAAAACTAGAGAAGTAGTGTGCTCCTTGAGAACTTGAAAGTTTATTCCTTGGTGTATTTCTTTTCTTCCATATTTTATTCTGGTTTATCACACTTCAATTTATTCCTCTAATCTTCGGTGTCTCATATTTCAACAAGAAAAAAAAATGAAAGAAGAATTTCATTAACAAAGAACTCTCTTTTAAAGCTTTGTAAATGTACAAAAATTGTAATTTCACAAAAAAAAGCCATTCAATTTCTGACTCTGCTGCCACTGATTTTACTCTATATTAATCATGTCTAACAATTACAATATGCTAAGGACTTTAAATACATCATCTTACTCAATCCTCATGACAAGTGTATGAGGCAGGTATAGGATTTCCACAGTAAGATCACACAGCTAGCCTGTGGTGACCATAGTATTAAGTCCTGAGCCCTATATTTAGCTTACATTCTATCCTTAACTCTATACTTGACACATTTAGAAGAGGTACTTTTTGTACAACATGGACCTCAAGTTCTTCTAACTTAGATCATAAACTCCTGGTATTTTTAAAGGTGATTTTTAGAATGGATCACCACAATAGTTTAGCAGATTATGATTGTTCTTGAAGTACCAGGCTGGGTATATGCTATGGGACAGATTAAGATGAAGGATCAGGAGGGCCAGTGGTTAAAGAAACAGCCTGGCTTAATCTGTTAAAATTATACACAGAAAACTAACTCATAGCACATCTGACACAGAATAAAGGACCTAAAACAAGTCACAATGAGCAAAGTGGGGCAAATTATAATTTAAATCACATCTACATGTCACAGCTACAATCTATATTGCGTTAGTAATCCTATACCTGAAAATATGTCTATATAATGTGGGAAGTTTCTGAAAGATTCTTAAACTCAAATCAAACATATAACCAAGAATTTGTTGAAAATAATGTAACAAGAATCATTCTTTATAAATGAGTTGCTGCTGTGCAGGAGAGTCAATTCTAAAAGATTACAGGAGCAATTTTTCAATCCAGTAGAAATAACCTAAACTCTATCAAAACCTAACTACAAAAATATTAGTGTGCTATTTATTTGTTCTATAAATATTTATTCAGTACCTATTATATAACAGACACTATGGTAGACACTAGATATAGAGCAGATAACAGGTTATTGCATTGCTATACAGAAAATCAAAATATTATCATGCAATAGATACCCTATAGCTACTTTGTATTTAGTGATCAAAGGAGGTCACTCCAGAAAACTGTAAATAACCCAAATTTCCATCCGTAGTAAACAGCCCAAATGTCTGTCAATCATGATACAAATATACAATAGAATACTGGGCAGATATTAAAAATATCAGGTAGAATTTTAAGTGCTAATACCAAAAGAACAAAACATATATCACAAACTTGAGAAAAGCAAGGTAAGAAGAGAATGTATATGATTCTATGTATATAAATTTCTTAAAACAAATATTTAGATGTGGGTATATATATTAAAAATACCCCAAAACCATTAACAGCGATTACTTTCAGAAAGAGGAATTTAGAGGGGGGAGACCCTATATTCTATTTAATGTGTATGTACGTGTGTATTTCTTTTATTTAAACACTGAAATTTTATTTTTAATATGTAAATAAAAGCCAAATGAGTATGACAGAAAACATGGGCTTTCTATTCCAGATCTTTCTAAAATTTACAGACTTAATATACCAACTTCCAACTTAAAGGTGGTAATAAAATGACCATCTAAAACTAAACTCTTTGTGGATTACATCTGGCTTAATGTTAAATATGGCACAGTCATCTGCTGTGACTCCTAACCGCCCCCTGCCTTCAGCTTTCATCAATAAAAACTGACCCACCCACTCTCTTTAAGGTACAGGTATGAGGATAATCACTCCAACTTCTACATAAAATCAGTTGTGAAGAAATTGAGATGGTCATATCAAATTCATTAAACAGACAAAGTTAATAAAAATCTATCTTTTCCCACATCATTAGCAACACTCAAATGCCCTTCCCACAGAGGAATGTTCAGATCTCTCACGCAGATTCCTCGAAAACTACCAATGTCCTATGTGTTAATGCCCTTAAATTTACTAAAAAATAAATAAAAATTTTTAAAAGGACCCCACTGATTTGAAAGTAAAACATACTCCAGAAGAAATTTAGACAAATAAATTTAATTATTGAGTGGCATTTTCCAGCCCAGGTTGAAGACCCCATTTCCAAAATTAGCAAACCAAAATAGTAATATCTTCGCTCTCATAGGTGGTAAACCAATGAGCCTATTCTTGAGTTTCTCACCTAATGCAGCATGATTTTCTTGCTCTTGACTCTTTCCCAAAATGGTCATCATTTTTGAATATGTATCAGTCCACCAAGGATTATACTTCAAAATCTGTTCAACTGCCTCATCTTCAAAAAAGTCAGCTCTGGAGGAAAAAAACACTGAATGTCAGGTGGGCTTGTTATACAAACTTAGGCTGGTTTTCATGTTTTTAAATTTTATAACCTGTTACATATGCACCAAAAATACAGATTAATTCAGAGTACATTTCAAGGAAAGAGTGAGCACTGAATTTACTTTTTTCATGGTTAGTAAGCATCATAAAATGAAAAGTAAGCAACTGACTATAAGGATATTTGACATTTATGATCACTTCAAATGGAAGTTAAACACAGGCCAGTCATACCCTGACGTCTCCCCTCCCCTCATTGCAGTGGTGTGGGGTAAAGTGAGACCGAACAAACACACGAGGAACTGAAGCCTCAGCACTAGTGCTGAATTTGTACAAACAAACAAACAAAAAAAGAACACATGAGTAGAAAATTTAGGATATTGATGCATGTACCCATACACAGGCTACACACAAACACAGACATCACTATTTAGCATGTGCACTCATATTTTCTGCCAAATATACAACCTATTTTATTTAGTTTTGCTAATCTTAATAGGTCCTTAATTTAAAACTACAGGGGGGAGAAAAGCAAACTTTGTAGAGAACAGAAAATTAATTTTCCTGTACTTCACTGTCCCAGTTTTAACTGGAAAAATAGCTGCTATATTAAAAATATACACTTGGAGGACATTTTTTCAGAAAATAAGCTATCCTGAATTTCTAAGTGAGAAATTGGTATTCTTGGGCAAAGAATGATAAGAAGTATAACTTAGAGTGAAAAATTTGTTTATATTTTAGTTAATTAGAAACTCAAGGGATTGGTTGTTTTGATAAATTGGATTTTCTAGCTGATGGTTTTATGACATCACTTTTTTCTTTCAACTGAGATACTGAAATCTTTGTAATATTAGAAATATCACAGATAACAAGTTCTTTGTATGTGCCAACTACTGCACTAAATGCTTCTCATTCATTATTATTTTTTAATCCTCAGACTATCCCCATGGGCAGGGGATACTCCCTGCTCATTTTACATGGGTGGAAACTGAGGGTCCAAAAAGTTGCAGATCATGGCCAAAGTCAAAAACCAGTAAAAACTGTGGCCAGGATTTGGACCCACTTATTAAGTCTTACTCCAGAATCTAAGCTATCAACCAATATATACATTCTATTTATATGCTTGAGAAAATAAAGTACATAGTACTGGATAAAACTAAATTGCAATTATCTTGAAACAATAATTCTCAATATCAATTTTGGTCAGGTGTGCAAATCCTATGAGACTAGGATAAAGTAGTTGCTTTACAGACTAACCCTGTTAAAAGTCTATTATTAGCCATCTCTTTCTTTTTAAAGTGAAGGAAAACTCAAACTGATGGTTGCCAGATGGGAAGGGGGAATTGGATGAAAAGGTTAACAGATTAAGAAATACAAGTTGACAGTTATAAAATAATCACAAGGATATAAAATACAGCATAAGGAATCTAGTCATTAATACTACAATGACTATGTATGGTGTCAGGTAGGTACTAGAGTTATGGGTGGGGATAATTTATAAATTGTATAATTGTCTAACCACTATGTAGTACATCTGAAGCTAATTTAGTATTAAACACCAACTGTAATTCAAACATTTTTAAAAAATAAAGTGGAGGAAAACTTTTGAATTTATGTTCTACTATAGAATTTCACCCACCAATCAGGATGTAAACTTTTTCTAGGAAATGGATTTCAAAAAAGATAAATAATAAGATTAAGTGGCTAAAATGCTAAATAAACCAACAAAAGTATTAACTTTGTGCTACGTTCCAAGCTCTATGTTAGGCATTGTTACACGGTTGACATATTACATGGCTGACAAGACAGAGGGAGTCCTGGCCCTCACAAAACTTACAGTCTCACAGGAGAGTCAAACAATTACAATCCTGCATAAGTGTTATGACAAATGTTTTGGCAGAATGAAACTGAGATGATAAGCAAGGTCCCTGAAGCAAATAATACTGAAACCAACAGCTGAATAATAATTAAGAGTTAACCAGATTAATAAGAGAGATGGAAGAAAGTAATCTGGGCTCAAAGAATAGTTAGCAAAGGCTAGGAAACAAGAAGGCACATTTAAGAAAAAAAATTGATACTAGCTGAAAATAATGGGTTATGGCAACAATAACCTTGTTAAGTCATGATAAAAACTCTAGATGATTTTTATCCATAAGAACAACTGAATACTTAAAAAAGCTTTTGCATAGGGGACTGACATCATTGCATTTCAGAAACATCACTCTCACTGCTGTCTAGAAAATAGTTTAAAGGGACCTGAAGAAACAGAAATAATGGTGGCCTTGAATAAGATACTGGCAATGGGCAGGGAGGAAAGTGGATAGATTTGACCTACAGTTAGAAGCTAGCTAGAATCCTCTAGATAGATGTAGGAGTCAAGGGAGCCGGGAGTCAAAGTTGATGCCTAGGATTTGGGCCTCGACAATTCGGTGAACAACAGTGACCTTTGTTGAGACAGGAACACAGGATGCTAAACGAACATGACAGGAGAGATGATGACTTCTGTTTGGAACAGGTTGAGTTTAAGCTGTCCTTTTAGGACACAAATAAATCTGTCCAATAGGCAGTTAGACCTGCATGTCTGATGTTCAAAAAAGACATATAGGACAGTTAAGAGGGCCAAAGAGGTCAGAATTGCCCATGAAAAACTGTCAGGGGAGCAAAAAAGAACCCGAACACTGGAGTGCCATGGGCACTTAATGCAAAGGTAGAAGAGTCCATCTGAAAAAATACTAGGATTTTTCCTTGGAAGGAAAATGGTTTAAAAAAAAAATGGCTCCATAAAATAGTATCTCTGCCACCTCCATGCCCCTTCTCTTTGCCCCCCAAAATCTTTGTAATGTTTAAGGGATTATTTGAAGTGAAATATCACTAATACAGTCTAAGTAATTCAACTGTGATGGTTTTTACAGTGTCCATAATTTAAGAGTTTTGTGAATAGATTGGAGGCTGACTGAGATAGTCTACTTTCCAGAAAAAAAATTATTTGCAAGTTTTTAAATGCCATTAAATTTAATAGGGATTTACTGAGTACCCTCTACATGAATGCAGATCAGAGAGATGAAGATTGGCAAGACTCGTCCCCTGCCCCTCAGGACTCCACAATTTAATGAGAACCACAGACACACAAACAGAATGTTTTAAAAACAAGATAAGCCATAACACAGGAACACTGAGGAGCACCTCCCCTACCAGTCCAGGAGAGAAGGTACCAGGGAGTGATGACTGAGCCCAGTCTTAAAAGATCAGTAAAAGTAATTCAGGCAGGGTGGGATAAGCGAGAAAATAGCTGGCGAAGGGATACCATGGATCAAAGTGTGTGAGAAGAGATGCAGGTTGAGAAATGCAAACATTCATTACTGCTGCAGTACAAAAAGTGGGCAGGGAGTGGCAAAACAGACAGTAAGAAGAAGACTGGGTCTAGATCACAGAGAACTTTCTACGTCATCATAAGAAGTTAGAAGCTTGTGGACCCTGAGAAAGAAGATAACCTACTAAAAAGGGCCCCTGGTGGCTAACTGGGTTCAAACTTAAAAAACAAAACAAAACAAAACAAAACAAAACAAAACAAACAACAAAAAAGAGGGGGGCTTAGTAGCGATTTCTACACAGGGGCCTCTCATGCAAACTGTACATCAGGAAGAAGCGTGTACTGAACTGCCTGCCTGCACTATGTTCCTGCCATCTGAGCCAGACCTTATAAAGGAGTTCCTGGAATCCTATTTCATCCAACAGGGCTGAGGCTTTCCCCATCCAATTGGAGCTGGGCAGCTATATCCCCACTAGTTTCTTCAATGATCAATCAGAGTGGCTCTATTGTGACCAATCAGGAGAGTGGCTTTTGCAGCAACCCAGCTGCAAGCATTTGAGCCCTCATTTGCATGAGGATGGACCAACCAGGGATCAGGGGCAAGGAATTCTGTCTATGTAAGTTAGCTCTCCTCTGACTGCCAGTGTACTTTCCTTTTCCACCAAAGACTGTACAACAAACACTGAAGATGTCTCACTTCAGCAGAGTGGACCAGCACAGGGCACAGTAGATCAGCAAGCAGCAAAGCAGAGCTACCCAGTCAGAGAGGGACCTGATCCCAGAGCTGTGTGGCCCTGTGGTCACTTCACCCCAGGTTGACCTAATAGCTGTACTGTTTTCACAGCCCTGATTTTATCACAACGGAGCTATTTTGCACTGAATAAAGTTTCCTTCTTCACCATACCACATATTGTGGATTATTGCTGGCACTGAATTGGTGCCAATGACCACTAGATAACAAAGCTCATGCTTTAATCAAAGAAAAACCTAGTAAGAGTTTAAGCAGATTTTCAGTACATAAGATATTATACTGGTGGTTTTAGAGTTTATGGATTTGCAGAATTTCAGGCTGGAGGAAGAGATTAGTTACGCAGTAACTAGGAGACTGCTGCAATAAGTAGGACACAGATGAGGCTCAGAAAGAGATGGAGTAATGGTTTATTTCAAAGGTATGTTAACCTAAATGCACAGAAAAAAAATGGACAGGGCTTGTTTAAGGCAAAGATACACCTTTAGTAAAGAGGCTGTATCTACCTTTTAGATAGATATGCTTTGCTTCCTCACACAACCAAACGAAGGACAACAAATTTTAAAACAAAAAACAACCAGAACTGCCAGAAAATCGAACTGTATGGAAGTCTGACAACCAAGAAGTTAAAGAAAAAAATTCATCCAGACTGGTAGGAGGGGCAGAGACGGGCTGCTGGGGATAAAGAGGACACTCAGCAAGGCAGCCTACAGGGCGGGTGAGGCTGCGGCTGTGACCGCAGTTGCAGCTGCAGCTGGCAGATCAGGAAGTCCCGCATTCGCATGTGAAAAGTTCTCATGAAGAACAACAGGGAAGCAAGAGAGACCACACAACTCAGGGTTCCAGTGCAGGAAACTAAAGCCTCAAAACCTCTGGCTGTAAAAACCTGTAAGAGTTGCAGTGCCCGCAGAAACT